GGCGGGGGGAGGGGGAGGACAGCCTGCTTGCTGAAGTGTTCCCTCAAACAATGTTAATATTCGCTACATTTTTCTCAAAGCTTTAAAGAGGCTCAGTGCTGCTCAAACACCCTGAAGAAAACCCAGCAGTTTTAGATACCCAAGACGACGATTACTACAAGCTGGCTGTTGCTTATGTATCTATTAAAATTGTATTATCTCTTATAATAATGATCTCTACATCTCAACTAGAAGTGAAGCGTGAATCCTCCAGTACAGCCACTATGAAAACGGTATTATTCTTATTAATTTTTATTTCAACTGTCAAAACCACAACAGCCAAGAGTTTTTTGTAGCCATACACACAGCCACAACACATTCGCTTGACAATCACTGCTCAAGGGATTTATGCAGAACAGCTTTCAAGTAATTTAATTCTCCAGTTTCAATGAACAGTATTACATACATTTTATATTTAAGAATAAAATCTTGAGACAGAATACTAGCCTGGAAGATAAATATAGGCTACAGTAAGTGAAACCACATAACAGAAGTCATATCAGATCAGCATAAATGGTATTCCTTCTACAAAATCATATCCCTATTTTAATCCCACCAGCAAACAGTAGCTGTTTTGCAAACAAACTGGCATAACAGGTATTTACAAATCTAAACATGATGAAAATCCACAGCTGCAAAGAATTTCAGCATCAAGTATGTACTGTGGAGAAAGAATTTCATTAAAACTAATTAAAGAAACTACTTAAAGACATTGCAAACTGATAAAACCTCCTGCCAATATGCAGAGCAGTATCTCAACTATGCTCATTAGAATAGAAAACCATTATCACAGGATGGGTAAGTAGGGAAGAGACTTTCTTTTTTTTAACTAAACATACACATTAAAATCTTTGTATTTGTATTCACCATATATAAATGAGTATTTTATCAGTTTATTAACTCTTTAAGAACCCTACTAAGTCCCATAGGCCCAAATTCTGTCCTTCAGCTCCCACTGACCTCACTGAAAATCACAGATGTGCATTGGAATTTGAGACTTGCATTTAAACACAGCAACAAAAGCAGCATTATTCGGTTAAGAGCATTACGAGTCAATGAAGTGGCACTTCAGAAACAGAGCTTGTTGCTAAAAGATTTGACAAGAGAGACTGTGGAACTAAATATATTTTCTAGAATACAACCATTACAATATTTCAGAATTGCATTTGTCCCATTTACCTTTGAAGAATTGGTGAAATCCATTAAATATTAAATTATCAAGGTTGGGGTATTACTTGTTTTTTTTTTTTTTTTTTTTGTTTGCTTTCTAATGAAGCTACCATTTTATCCAAAACATTGTTCATCCTACATGTACAGAAAACTTAAACATGGTGATATGGGCCTTTTCTCAGCTTAAATTGCTAAAACAGCATATACTGAAGAACAACAAATGACTTATTTAAACAATATTAGGTATTCATATGGCTTAAGAAGTTTTAGGAAAATACTCAGCAAAAAAGTGTGTTATCTGTCACAATACTGAAATCCTTTAAACAAGAAAGGATAGAGGTAGCCACAACAGTTTCCTCTTCTTCAAAGGACCAGAGGCTTTGACAAGCACTTCAACAATGCTCGAGTGATTTTCATTATGATTCTATGATTAAACCCAAAACTTAAGAAGAGCACCACTAGAAAATGATCACTAGATTAAGTATCATTTGAAAAGGTGTTATAGTATATAGGAAGCCTCCTCCCACCACCACCGAGTTCTGTGAAATTCTTTCCTTCGTGCTTCCAAATGAAGATGGTGTTTCAAAGGAGGAGTTTAACAGTATAGAAGTGGCATAATATTGGTGCTCCCTGTGCCAGCTGATTTAAATACAGAAAAGGCAAGTTCTTTTTCCAATACTCATATTTTGTATATGTCTTGGTGAAATAAGGTATTGATGTTCTTTTTGTCAGGCAGAACGAAGACACGAATGAAGTTATCTGTGCAAGACCTAACTTCCAAAGGTAACATGAACACAAGTCAAATCACTCCTGTTCTTCCTTTCCAAATTTAAATTGTTTTGACCAAAATAAAAAAAAAAATTTAAATCAAAGCTCATGATTTCTTTATGTCTTTGTTGCCTTTTGGTATTTGATATTTTTTAGCTTGATCAGACACTGAAAATGCCAGAAACTTTCACCTTAAATTTATTAACTGCTTCACTCCTAAAGCAGCAGTTTTGGAATAAAACTGAATTTTGTGAGACTGTTTCAAATCCCAATGTTTGGCAATGCTGAAAGACAACAGAAGACCCGTTCCAGGGCTGGAAACTAAAATGCAGTCTCCTGAATCCCATTCCATTGCTACAGAAGCAAGATCATCCATCCTTCTCCACAGAAAACACTAATTAGGGAATATATTAAAGTAATACAAAGATAAAAAGAAAACGTTAAAAAAGCTGTTAAATTACTTTGGTTTTAATTCAGAATGCAATTAATAAGCCTGACTTCTGCTAGGGACTGTCCTTCCTCAAAGTTTCCAGGGGAAAATGCTAGCTAAGTCTTGGTTTTGAGAAACATGATGTTTAGGGGCCTCAGTATGGCAAGATTAGTGTTGAAGATACTTTTTAAAAGTCACGGACCTTGATACTATGAGTAAAGCAACTAGACAATGCATAGAGGAGTACCAAAAGAGGGGAGAAAAAACCCCAAACTCTGAGGTTGAAAACTTTGGATAAATTCTTGCCAGGAGAGTATTAGTGATGCTGGGATGCAGCTCCACGGTAAGCACCTTTCCTGCTAGAAAGCAAGAATTTTTGCCTTCCCATATCCTCACTACTTAAACCTTGTCATGAGTGAGATAAGCCTAGCTGGGAGAGCAGGTTTATGTGCTCTAGTTCAAATCAGTGAAGTGATTCCTGTTAAAAAAACCCTCCAAAATTTGTTTTGCGAAAAAATCCAAACAACCCAAAACCAAGCAAACAAAAAATCAAAAAAAAGCCCAACACACAAACCAACCAGCCAACCTCATGCCCATTCACTAATCTGGTTTAGAGCATGATCTCTCAGGAAACTGTATTCGCACAGTTAAAGAATCATTAATCTCCAGTATCATGGTAAGGTGGTATGAATAACTAGGTGCAGGTACAAAAGTGCACTGGCTTTACTGACAGAAAAATTATGCCATGTACCATGGCACATATGTTGGAAGATTCTACTGCCTGAAAGAACATCAAGTGCTTCCAGACTGTAAGAAAAAATATGCAGTTCCAGAAATGAAAAAGACAACAGCTTATAGATTATTATGATTTCATTTTAGTAATTTACACTGTCCTGTGCCACGTGATTTGCACAATCTTCTCCCTTTGTAAAAGATGAATACACTGGATGTGGCACCTCCATGACCTCAACTCAAGCTTTCTGCCCTACAATTTCTCTTTCAAATCCACCTGATATCTACTTGGCCAATAGTAGTCTCGAAGTTGTTGAATTTACAAGTATTTGAAGTTTGTATTGATTAGACATTGGTATTATCTGCTGTGGAGTTACAGTCCTATTCTTTTGGGGCAGACATGAAGGAAAATAAAGATTAATTCCATTCATGTTAGATACCATGTCTATCATACAATTGGTACATATGACCTTCAAACCACATGAAAAGTATCACTTGAAATAAAAAAATGAACAACGAGTTCATCTGCTACAGTTTGGACACTTACAGGTCTATTCAACAGATTTTGGCTATTAAAACTTTTTCAGTAACATTAAGTAATCAAAAGTCAGCAACTGACCAGCAACTAAAAGGCAAATGGTTGACAGAGGTGCAAATCATAAATATTATCAGTGATAACAGAGACAGAATCATCTTCTCCCTGTCCTATTGCTGACCTGTTACCTTTTATACTGCCAGACTCACTTCCTACATTGTTTTAGCTCTATCAGAACTAATTTTTATTTGAAAGTAGAAGTCAAGAATCAAAATTAAGATAAGCACTTGCTTTTTTTTCTGCTTATACCTCAGGAGGCTGAAAGGACAAAATTCAGGAGGCAGTAGGTACCATTTGTTAATGGAAAAAACCTAACTAAATAAAATTATTAAGTCCAGCAAAAACACCCAAAACATCAACAACAATGTTCACCCTAACCCTTGGGCAAAATTTTTTGCAAAAGCTCCCTATCTATGCATATAATATCTACTTAGTACTTTCCAAAATTACCACCCAATCATTTCATTGGCATCTTTTCAACTCAAAATACCTTACTGAAATATTGTAAGCTTTAAGGACATCTCAAATTACAAATACAAAGTGAGAAGCAACATGATCTGTTGCCTCCTATTGAGGACACTGGTATATTTCATTTTGCACATTTAAATCCATATGCAATCTTACCATTGATCTTTCAGAATATCCAAACAAATGGCCCCAGTGACTGAGCTAATATTAGGATGCCATATTTTGGTGATAAACCGCACCTAGAAGACAGGACAATTTTTAAAAACAGAAATGGTTATTAAATTCAGTATATTAAGTAAACATTTTAAATGCACCATTTCTAATGAAGAAATACTAATGTAGGAATTATCAAGCGAAAAAAAAACCCAGAACTAAGACATGTGATACCACTTATTTCAGGAGGCTTCAAGTTTGCACACCCATTTGTTAGACAGAGCCTTGCTGTACTCAAAACCAGACTACTGCCTGTTTGAGGACACCAAACTCATCCCTAACTGCTTTCCCACACCCTGTCATGTGCACATATCCCTGCATCACATAAAGCCATTTAGAAATACCCTCCAGCAGTACCAGTGTTTCAACATAAACAGATGGTCAAATATAAACTTAAAACTTCAACATCGTACAGGCTAGGAAGCCCACTCCTAATAAAGTGAAACAAGCCCCTGAACTCTTAACGTAGGCATCAGATCTCACTGTTCAGCTAAATTGTTGGTAGCTACAGAAGTATTATTATAATTTCCTTGGTGGATGCTACTACTTCTACCACCATCCAGTCTCATTACCCATATGCACAAAGCTCTTCAGAGAGCTAGATTACAATTATTTTTCTTTGCTGTTGAAAGGATCTAGTCCCAGCATTCATTCGTTGATCATGTCCACATTTCACACTAAAATAAAGCGTATTCATGTTCACAAAGCATGAATAAAATCAGTTTGGCTTCTTTTTTAAAGACAATGAGAAAGTTAAAATCAGCATTTTATGTTAAAAGTCTCAAAACCCAATTCCCTGAAAGGAATACATACATGCCTTTAGAAATTTCTCCTTCATTTTCTTCAGAGTCCTTACTGCAGGTTACACTTTAACTGCTTTCTAGTGACTTCAACCCATCTCTCTATTTCTCATCTCTACGTCCTCACCTCAAACTCCTGACAAACATCTTACATATAGCACAGCTGTTTTAACTTTTGCCCCTGATCTGTGCAGTGCAGAGAACGCATTATTTGTCAGGCACTATAGCAAAAGACTGTACATACCGGACTAGAATGAAATCAGTGCAACCGTGGTGTATAAATAGGCAAGACCATAACAGTTCTGCTTTCCAGGACAGAAAATGAGAGATCATGTCAGCTGAGCCACTTATTAACTAGCTCAACTCTCTCAATCACTTTGAAAATGTAAAAAGCCATGCAAATACTAGGTAATTTCGCACAGTGAATGAAGGCTAACAATGGCTGTCAAAGCACATACTGAACAAGATAAAGAAATCTTTCAGATGAAAGGCAGGGCTAGACAGAAGCAAAAAGGCCTCCAATTCAAGACTACAGACTCCAGAATAAGCGGTACTATGCTACAGTGCACTGAGCTTCTAACAGCTGTCTATAAGCTTTGGAAATGGAAACCACCAAGCCCTAAAGCAGCAATTAAACCACACTCCACAGACCCATCTTTCAGTGTCTATGACCTGTTTTGGCTCTCCTTATCTTAGCTCCCACCAGAACACATGCAGATGAACGAACTGAAACCAACAGACATTTCGTTAAGACTTTCTGTGTCTTTCACTCCAGCCTCAAGGAAGCCATTCAAAGGACAAGAGCCAAGGAGCTAAAAGCTACTGGAACCCCTCCCTTCCTCCACATCCCCAGTTCCTTCCCAGTATTACATACCAGGGTGAAAATAACCAGGACCTAGGACATGTTCTTAGTTCAAAGACATCTTTCAGACAAACTGAAAACCAATCAAGAAGCTGAGTCAGACAACTCAGGAGCCTGCTGACTCATCAGAAGCCACTGAAGAAGGGACAAAATCAGGGCACAGAAATATACAGCTGCAGCTGCACATGGCTAGAGAGAAGACTATTCAGACTGATTCATTTAGGAGGGAAGTAGAGTCACAAATCTAAAGTGCTAGAAAGATACACTAAAGTTGAAAGGGAAGGATTGACTTTAGCACAGTAATTTCTCTTGTCGCTCGTCCATGTCAACATTTTATGCATTCCTTCAATAGAGTTGCAGTAAGACCATTCCATTTCTTTTTTGGTTCTTCAAGTCACACAACTGTACACCTCACTATTTAATTGTTACTAGAAACTTGGTAGGTTAGATCCAAGACTCTACTAAATATAGGTTATGGATCCCAAGAAATTAAAAGGATCAGTAATTATCTATTACAGCATTTACTTTAATGATAGCAAGGGGGAGGGAAGATAGCCATACTCTCTACATCAAGTAAAACTATCTGAAAACTGAATTTATCCGGCCACAAATAAATTACATGATGATCAACAGTAAGGCAAAAGCTCCTCCCCAGAATTTGCCAGTTTGTACTTTAAGGAATAATCAGAGTGTACTTCTGAGAGACGGCTATGCATCCTGCACTTCTACCTGAAGATGACAGCTCCAATGCCTGTCTAGAGGAGAATGAAGAAAAAAAAAAAAAAAAAAAGGAAGATGGGTACTACAAAGAGACTACACGTGCAAGCAAATAAGTAAGAACACAGTACCTTAGGAGGATTAAACGGATATGTTTCTGGAATTTTTATCTCTAGTTGATATCTTCCACCTGCAAATGACAAGAACAAGTTAGAAGTTAAAACAAAAACAACATTACTCAAGCTTAGCCTTTTATGACAATAAAGTTTATGTTTCTAAATGGACAGTTTTTCAAGTAATTCAAATTTACTCAGAAGTATTAGCTAGAGGATACTTCTAAATTTCATATATTTTATAAATAAATGCATATAAAGTCAATCTAATAACGTAATATTTGCTTATGCAAATCAGAATCTGTATTTCTTAGGTGTATTTAATGGGTACATTCTCCTATAGTTCCTTGTTTCCAATGTGGTAATTTCCATGCTCTATTTTAGTAAAATATACCAAAATATAAACCAAATATACCCCAAACAGATGAAACAATAAGCCACAGGAACATTCAGGCTCAACACGGGATATTACATTATTTTTACTCTTTTCTGATACTTTATGCAAATAAATTTTCTTCAAATAACATAACTGAAATTAACTATTTCATTTTAAACTTTCTGCAACTGAAGAACATTCGACTACGTCATTTAAGAAAAGCTCCCACACTTTGGAGAAAAAAAAAAAAAGGAGGTTCCAATGTTATTTCCACTGTGTTCTACAGGTCTGAAGTGTTACTTCTATTCCAATTCTGCAAACACTTTGATACACTAGGACTATTAATATAGTTTGCAGGATTACAGCATGCAATAAAGGATACTGTTAGCTTGGTGGACAGAACCACCTTCTGCTGCCCTTTTCTAAACATGTCTCGTTTTTCTCTCCCTGCTACAGTATCATTACCCCTGTCTAGTTCAATTATAGTGTTGTTAACATTCAAGTTTACTATCAATACCTATGTATTTATGTTTCAGAAAGAAACCTTTCCCCTCCCTCAGTGTACTTTATTACAATTTATAAATTTCCTTGAATTAAAGTTGAAGTATCTGCAATCTATTATCTTTGGGATTTCAAGAGTGATTTACTCTGTTGCAAATCACTCTATACAAATCCAGCTCTCAAGTAGTCTCAATAGAGGTAGCAAGATTCACACACAGAGAAAAAGACTCAAAGGAATATTCTGAACAGTTATACTCTGTGGCACCTTTTCATCTGTGCCAAAATGCAGTTAACAGCTAATAACACCTCTCACTTTTAAAATGTAATTCAGTCTAACACACTACACCTGAAACTGGTATTTTACACTACTTTCTACAGCTGGTTTTTCTCACTTAATAGTACAGTAACTTGAGAAGATTTAACAGAAAATGCAATAGAAGAAAGGCTAATGAATCCAAAATTACAATAGTTAACGTCTAAGTTGCTTGTCTGCTTACAGGACAGCACAGGCGAAATATTTTTGAAGACAGGTACATCAACAACAGACCTTATGAAAGTTTGCTTTTCCTTTTTTTCCTCCTGAATTGAAGCATAATTCAGCAGCAATTTTTTCCTAAGAAACAGAACAATTCCTGGACTGCAAAAAGTCATCAGTTCCTGTATGATTTTACCGTCACACCATTTTGTAAGGTAATATAAAACCTATCCTCAGGTATTACCATTTCTTCTGCTTACCATTAAAACTTGCCTTTAAAAGACAGACTACTACAGCCTTCTGCTTAACAGGCTATTCAGCCACCAACTTTTTCCACCCTGAATACAAGTCCAAAAGATTTAAAAACTGCAGGGACTAATGAGTTGGTAATATTATTTATACAGTATTGTTGTCATGCACTGTAGTTTACTTACAGTTAAAAATACAGGCTTAAAGACTTAAATTGAACAAACCTGGATATTAATTTCCTTAATACTACATTTAAAATGCAAGTGCCTAACATAGTAACTCCTGCATATCAATATTTCTGCGGAATCTTTTTAAAAAGAAGTATGCATATGTACGGCTTTTTCATAGCTATTTAATCCTTGAGACCAAATTAAACAGTAATGGCAGAATATTCCTTCTGTACTCCCACTAGAGCAAATGTCTCACAATAGAGTTAGAACAAGTTTTAACTATTTTCCTTGAAGAAATACCCTATTATAAATTTTGCAGTTACTGTGGCTCACATGCGAACTTGGCTTGAAATTAATACCATGGTTACACAGGGTTTGAAAAAAAAAACCAAACACAACAACAAGCAAACAACCCAAAAGCCAACCTATCTATTGCAAAGCTCTTGAATCAAGTAAAACCCAGCAGCCATTCATCTAGACTTTCAAAGGTCCTCTCCCCAAACACATGTTTTAACATGGGATGCAAATGTGTTTCAACTGAAGTTGTCTTGCAATATTCTGATAATTGTCCAATATGAGTTAACACTACTGACAGAAAAATAAGAGCTCTAAAATTCGTCAACAATAGATGGCATTCTTCCTCTCAGCCATACTTAAACCAATGTCCCAACATCACCTATAAAAGAATTCTGCTGCAGCAGTTTGTTTTCAGATACCTCACCAACTGTGGTCAACAATAAATATTACTGTTCTTTCACTTCACAATGGTCCTAGAATTCTCTCCTGTATCACAGAATTGTTTGACCTGAACTACTGCATTAATTAGCTTTTCTTCATAAAGCACTTCTTGCTGTGTCATTGTTCAGACTGTAGATGACAGGAGGTCAGTCAGTAATTATCCAGCATGCATTACTGCGTTAGTCATAAAATGTAAGGTACACACACTGGCAAGCCCTTCATAATTACCTGAGGTAATAAATGCATAAAACTGTGTTACAGAAATATTAACATTCCAAAGTAAATTATTCAAGTGTCAGGAAACGCCAGAAATTGGGCTGCTGGTAACTTTCATTTTGCTTCTTGGTGCATATGCCTTCTAGATTAAAGAAGCACACGATCACATTACTTTTCTGTGAGACCCTTGCCATTATCAGAATACATAATAGTTTTAGCCCCCCAAAAGGGATATTTACTATATCCTCATCATTAAATGTACTTATATGTACGTAGGTATGCATGCATGCATTTCACATCAACAAATTCCGCACTAAACACACATTGCTGATTTTCATTAGCTGAATATGCTGAATATGTGAATACACAGTGCTCAGCTTTTGAAATTTCAGTCTAACTGAATTATCCAGCAACACACAGAACCCAGTTCTGCAGACAGGCATTCAAATCTTTTTTTACCCTCTTCATGAACTGCTATACAGTTTTTAACTTTTGTGACACATGAATACATCTTTCATTTCAAATAACTCGTAATACATTCTCCAAAAAAGGTCTATTTTATAATGCTGGCCTGGAGGAAAAAAAAAATAAAATGGCGAGGTAATGCTGGTCTGGAGGGGGAAAAAAAAAAAAAAAAAAAAGGCAAGCCGTGACAAACCAACTCACCCGAGGAAGATTCATTCTGTTTGAATGGAAAAAAACCAAACAACAAAGCTCCCAAAATAATACTCTTCCCCCACCATTCAGATGTTTCCTTGTATCCAATTACTTAATTTTGCAACATCTTAACATCTGTATGTAAGACTCAATTTTACAAGACCAACTATATTTGCAATAGAACTATTACACTAAACAGAATGATCCACTTCCAAATAGGCCACCAGCACAACTGTGTATTTTAGGTTCACAGTGTAGTTGTCCTTTTAAAGTGAAGGCACATGTTATAACCAGAAGAAATTATCTTCTTTCCAGACATTATCTTCTGCCAACTAAACACTAGTGGCTGATGAGATGAGTATAGTGAGACGTGGAGGAAGGGAGGAAACCACCAGTATTTGCTGGACAGCAAAGGAACTCTGGGACTCAGGTTCTGGAGGTGAGTACCCCTACCATCACAGATGCTTCTACTTTTCTAATCTGTCCCTTCCAGGCTCACTTCCTTTTTTCTCAGCTTCTGACACCTTCTCCTCCTGCCCAATATTCTCCAATATCAACCTCTGTTAGGCTGTTTCCTTGTCCTTTATCTGCCCTGGGCCCCGGTAGGGGCGTGAGTGGGCACTGGGGAGACTCTCCCTGCTCTCAAGTTCAAGGCTGCTGCACCAGCAGCTCCCAGCCAGCAGAAGCAATCACGTTCTCCTTTGCGAAGATGCAGCAACCAGATTTTCATCAGTAGCCACTAATGCTTTCAAGTGCATATACACCTATACCTACACAATAATTTTCTGATATTTTCCCCACTTGATGAGAATTTATTTTTCAAAACAATGACAAACAGCACGTCTGGTCTCTGGACAATACTCAAGTCCCACTCTTAGCTCCAACACATGGAGCAACTAGAGCAACTGAAAACTTGGAAAATTGTTTTAATTTCCAACAAAACAATTCATTTGCCTGTAACATTCCTTTAGACATCTTTGTTTACTGGAAGTTCAAATTCAAATCAAAGTAGGTATCAGGCATGGAAAATTTGAATAAAACAGCATTAAAAATAACCAAAATTTTAAAGTAAATAAATAAATATAAATCCTCATTTATCATCACAGAACTTTAATAGAAGGTGTTTCTGCCAGCTCCATATATATGATACACAAACAGAAAGTTTACAAGTACCAGCACTATTGAGTAATTTGGTCTCTCTGATGAAGTATGCTATATTAGCTCCTGATAAAGCTTCTATATGTAGTAAGTTATCTTGCTTTTTCCAGACTGAAGAGATGCACGATTACTGATACCAGCTTTAATAAACAAGAAAGTCAATAAGGTGTAATTTTTGAAGAGAGCTGTAGACATGAAGTTCTACTATAGAGTCTCCCACTCCAGTACAAATTAAGTACTGGGACCCATGGATGCCCGAGGTTAATCACAAATTTAACTTGCAATGGCATCTCTCCTTGAGATAGAAAAATGCAACATGTGTTTGAATGACCACCACATTAGATCACAAAAATACACATACAGTTACATTAGAGGCTGAAGCTGTTCCTTGACGCATCAAGGCTAAGGAGCTTAAACTGTCAAGACTGTAAACAAATAAAAGTCAGCATTATACGTATTACAATGCACAGTTTATACCTGTTAATTAACCTTTGATATAGAATAGTCTGACCTACTGTAGAAACAATTTGTCTTCAGGCAACACAGAAGCTGAACTGAAATATTTTTCAAACTTAAAATTTGTATTTTTTAAAAAAATCAGACTATTTTAAAACACGTAGCTCTACATTTTTATGCTGTAAATGAATTTTACAAACAAGCATCTCAAGACACATGATTTGAAGTATACAATGATTGCACACACAAAAACATTACTTGCCTTCATATGGTGTGTCCGGAGGTCCTGCTATTTCTCCTCTTAATTCTGTAAAATTCTCATCTACAAGATCTACTTTAATTTGATTTTTGCTCGTCTTAAAAATAAACAGAGAAACAAAGAGTCATAAGTAAGCATTTGACATACAGGTTTCCCCCAAAATATGGTATTTTAAATTTTTAGAAGAGTAGTTTGTTAAAATATATAAATAAAAATTTAAAAATGTAATAACTTAAGTGAACATGTATCTTTGAGCTGGATTTTTACTTCACTAAAAATAGGTCATTTGTGAAGCATTACAAATTTCAATATTCTTTATACTATCACTAAAATAAGCAAAGGCAGCAATACAATATTTGAAGTTATATTTTTAAGTTGACTACATTTTAAAAAGACCATGATCTTTCAGATCAGCTACTAATTCTATGTATCTCAAGCTATAAAACTAAATTGACCAAGTTACACATTGGGGTTTTTTTTCTTGTTTAAAGCAAGTTAATTAATAATAGACACGATTGTCACCTTCACTGGAATACAGAAAGACTTCCCAAATGGAGTGCTCACTATTTTTAAACAATACGATAATCTAAACAGAATAATGTAGTCTTGTTTAAGATCATGTTTATCTTTATTATTTAGGCGTAAGGCACAATTTATTTATACACTTGAATTTCATTGTCACCTCCTCAACATTTTCACACCCCATATCAACTTGCCTACAAAATAAAAACACTGTATTTTGATACCGAAAAAAACCATATGTTTTCCAGAAACTGATTCTCAGAAGTGTTTAGCCAGAGCTACTCATTCCATTGAATTTGCTTTCCAAGTCCAGAGAGCAGCATTAGTGAAATTCATACAAATCCTCCAGCCAGTAATTTTTTGGGGGAGATGCAAAGCAGAATCTCTTTTTAGAGAGACATACCATGAAGTTTTTAGAAGTATGTAATTACAGGTTTGTCCATTCTGCTACTTCTGTATGCCGTGCTCAATGACTGCAACACAGATTTCCTGAATCCTGGTTTGGGGTTTTGGTTTGGTGTTTTTTGGGTTGGGTTTTTTTTTTTTTTTTTCTCCTTTGAGAACTCATAATATCTTCCCAGATCCTTTAAAATTGTTCCAACTAGTTCTACGCCAAAAAGCCCTATGCAGCTGTGCTTCCTTTCTCCCTCAGAGTTAATCTGGTTGCTGCCAGCTATGAGAGAAGAGTTAAGACAGATAAAGCTGATGGTTGCTATCAACTGGTTCTTCGATCTACCAGTGATGTGAATGAACAGGTAAGGACGCAAAATCCACTGAACGACAGCTGGGAAATTATCTCTATTTCCTTCCTGTAAAGGTTCTACGGATTCAGTCCCCCCCAACAAAGAGGGTGCTCTTCTGACCAGTGATGTTCACAAATATAAACAAAAATCAAAGTTTAAGTAAAAGTTTCACTATGTAAAAGACCCTAAATAAAAGTTTCATTATATTAATCCAATGGTGATTTGGGAGCTTTTTACATCTATAGTTACACACACTTATCCTTAAAGCCTGGATGAAAAAAAACCTTCAGCCCACACAAATGAGGCAGCACCTGCAAATGCATAGTTGAGGCCAAGTACTGCACTTCAAAAAACAGAGATTCAACCATGCTAAAAATTAAGAACGCATCACACACCTCCAAAATTGAAAGCCAGTATTTAGTAATGGTTCTGTTTTACTGATTTATATCTGTAAACTAGCTTTTTGTTTTAAGCTCAGCATCAGATCTTGCATTGTCTTTCATGACCTTAGCTAAGACATCAGAGAAAGGAAGTCATTAATAGAACTGATTAAATTATTTTTTAAAGCATATTTTAAATGTAGTTTCTTTCCTGCAAAGAAACTCCACCTCTGAATCCAAACTCAGTCACAGGCAACCCATTCCTCTTGCAAGCTTTCCATCCTCCCTTTTAAGTTTCTTTTCTCTCACTATTCCAACTGGCAGCTCATTCCACAACTTCACAACTGTTAAAAGCTTTCTAAACTACAATTTAGGTAAAGGTATAATCTATTTACGCCCACCTGTGGCAGCATTGTTTCCCAGCTTCAACAAGTTTCTTCGTATCTCCGGTATTTATTCCCCTCATAAAATATATGGTATATATACCAATTTCATTTTTCAGCCTTAATTTTGCTCTAAACAAGCTAGAATTTTAATCTTGCCATATGATTTCTTTTGAACTTCTCCACTCTATGTCCTAATTAGCCCTGCATAAACGAATGTCGATGAAGTCTCAGAATCAGTGCCACAAACACTCTGTTGCACCCACAGAAAATACATCAATCACAACCCAGCATAACCTAAGATCAAATTTGCCTTCTTCCATGACAGCATGACACGAGGCTCAGATCAAGCAACAGAGTTCCAGCGAAGCTTCTTATGGAAGTTTTTGTCCCCTTCAGTGACCACACTGTGCTTTCAGCAGTATTGCCCCTGTGCATTACCTCTTAGTTCACAAAGCAGCACATTGGTTTAAATAACCAATACAGTCAACAAGTCACTAAAACCACCTGGTCTGGCAAGGCAGTCATTTTAAGGTCTATTCAGGTTCTCCTGCTCTCCCTCTGTCAAGTACTGAGCTCCAGTCAACTTCACCTGGTGAGCTCCAAGTTGACAGCACAAGTTCTTGCTCTTTGCAAGCAAACCCACAACTTTCCATCTTGAGGACTGAATCCATAGCAAAAGGGATTAATACAATCTATGGTTAACCCATGCTGCAACTTGCTTAAGTTTCTACTTAGCATGTGACTTTTCTTCAGTGCCCCGCACACTGTTGTAGCAGCCCGGATATTCACCTTCATATTCCGTTCCAATCAGTACCACACCAGCTGTTTTTCACAGCAAATCCTTTTTGACTCAGTAAATTCAGTAAAAAACAAACAAACATCCATCCTATTCCGAAGCTCAGTTTCTTTCAAGAGTCAGTGATCCTGGTCCCCCCATTTGAGATGACCGCTTTTATTACTGCAGCTGTAGCTATTTCCATACCTTTATTTCCTTTGTACAGAACCTTGAGGGAAAATGGCAGGCTACGTTACACTGTTTCAGTGTACGGATTAATTTAATTTTGAGTTCACGCTCGAATTCTACCATGCCCTCCAAATAACAAATGCATTTTTTATTTACGTAGCTATTCTGATAGACTTTTCAGGGTGCAACTCAGCTTGACCTTGCCAATTCTTGCTTTTTCCTTCACCCCTAGAGTAATAACTAATATTTAACTGTACTGAAGTGATTATTCATCCAATTAAATCTGGAGTGTTTTCCTACAATATTTCCCCTTAATGAGGATCACATAGGATAAAATTACTTAATTTTAGCAGCTCTAACAGAATAAATCCCTGGCCTCCGCTATAATCATCTGAACTGCCTCTTAAAATTTTACCAACAGCAGAGTTCTCCGAAAGTGTGCCTCTGACAATGACCTTAGCACAGAATTTATGAATTAACTTGTGATCTCACAACACAAGTTGATTTTCCAGAAGCAGTTCTTCTACAAAGACCTCATTAAGCTTCCATACCAAGTCTAAAATAGCAATCACCTCCTGTTGATTCAGTAACAATTTGGTGACTAAATGACTGGGCTAGGAATTCCTGAAATGTCTGAACCATGCCATCACTAGCAGCATTTATTTCCATAATCTCAAAGAAGTTAAGTTCTGTAACAATATAATTCCCACTAGAACTTTTCACCAACACGAAAACACTCCACTAACACCAGAATCCTTTTCTAGGAACCTACAAGTCCAACACTACACCAGCAGAACTTCCCATCATCAGACCCGAAAATTATTTTGATCAAGACCGATCGAAAAAAAAAAACAAAACAAAACCAAAAAACAAACAAACAAAAAGAGAAAGGCACATTAATGCAACATATTACGCAATGCACGATGCCATTCCCTCATCTTTTTTCTTCATTTTCTAATTGGATTATGCATAGCCTATTTTTCCTTTTAAATGCGTCCCCTGCTTCAAACTAGGGCTCTAGTCAGAAGTTTTGTTGTCTTTTAGACCATCCCAACTGCTCAGACTCTTTAGGCATTTATAGTCATGCGTACCCAATTTTATTCTGCCTTGTGGAGATTAAACCCTATTATGAAGATTAAATTAAAACCGTGAAGTAGAAAAGTTGGGGAAGATTCGTATAAGGCACTTTCATCCATTACAAAAGCCTTATCTCTAAAAGGAAACCCAAAAGAATCAATCCTTCATGAAGAATCATTCTGTGAGCATCTCCTGAAGACTGGACACTCAGTCACATTTATTACAGTCGCTATTGATTGACAATATTTTGACTTGTCTTTGCCTGCCTCCTCTTAAAAAAAATAATAATCCAGAATTACTTATTATTTCTGTGTTATTCATGGCCTATTATCCTCTTTACTAGTCCAGTACCTCCACTCTTAAATATCTAAGTTTTCCTTCACAGAAGATAAAAAGTAAACAGAGAGCCAAGACAAAACTATAACATACCAACATCACAGGAGCACAATAAGACAATATTATGAAAATTGCACTGTTCTAAACATTTCTTTCCCACATCCAAATTACTACTTACTACATTTACAAAAAAAAAAAAAATTATTCCAAGTTTGATCTTGAGATAAGTCTACTTCCTGAAGAGTTAAAGTTGAAAAAATGATTTTATTTTTTTTTTTTTAGAAGTAGGAATTACAAGTGCATGGGAATTTTTTACACTTTCCAAAAAGCCTCTGAATTTGACAGTTATTTTGACAAATAGGCTATCAGAAAAGAAGTAAAGTTCAAGTAATCAGCATAAAAATACCTATTATCAGAGCTGGTGATGTATGGATGGATACTGGTAGGTTTAACCAAAAAATGCAGGAATAACCTGCAAAGATGCACATATAAAGATGCGTACAGATAAACAAGTCAAGTTGCAATAAAAGCAGCTAATTATTAATACTCTGCAATCATTTAGTGCTTTAAGACCAGCAACTTACACATTAAGGAAAAGTTTTAAGTGACAAAACGTTAAAGAATATAGATGCCAAGATTTCAGCAAAGATGGAATCAGAAAAATTTCTCCAGAGTTTTCTCAACAAGGACAAAGTCCACTAGCTTGCAAGAGAGGGTGTGCATTTAAAACAAAATGTTTTCCATCACTAATTATTTCCCAATTGCACCAACAAAAAATTATTTTTATTTATCTTTCTTTCAGACAGAATTTTAAAATTATTGTTTGATTCCTCTGAGGTAAACTGACAATAAGCACTTTTTAACCAACCTAAAATCTAATAAAAATTTAGTTACTTCTCTACAATTTACAAATGTGAAGAAGTAGGTACTTTTGAACATCCAAACATTTTGTATTGACATTATTAGGATCAATATTTAATAAGCCAAATGAAGTAAGAAATACTTCACCCTAGTCTGAAGCCATCCTAGCAAAATTAATCTATGGTACTATAAATTTGCTAGTGTCTCATAAAACTCTTCTTACCTCCCCCCACCCCCTTTTATTTTCTACCACAACAGTCCTACTCTACACCAAAATCCAGCATGAACATATCCCAACAGAGTTATAGAAAAAGATCATCTGATTAACTACCATAATGAAATCCATATAATGCTACTTTTGCAAAAGGCTGTGAGCACTCTGAGTCAACATAAGTTTTGAGCAGAAAACTCCAACCTTTCAGTAGCAGTTTACTCCATTAAACAATTATTTAAACTAGTAACTTAAAAAAAAAACCAAGTTCACTCTTATCCTATTTACCAACCCCTTGCAAACTTGTGGATAAATATTCAAAGTAATCTTGTTTTGCCGCAAGTGCCAGGTTATTTTCTTATACCCTTTTGCTACAATACCATTAACTCTCTCAACTTAGTCCAACTGATTCAGCTCTGTCCACTTCACTGGTGTACCAGAAAGGGAAGATGCTAACAGCAGACAAAGAGGTGAGCTTCTAAGTGAACCACCAGCCCCTCTCTCCTCTCACCTCCCTGGCCTTACTTCTTGTCAAACCAACACTCTACCTTCTTAACCCTTTGCTACCACAGATTGTTAGCACAGAGTAGCTCGGGATAAATACATTGCCTCCACTTAGCTCACTCTTTTGCAAGAAATAGGAAAATGGCAAAAAGGCAGGATCTATCACTCTCCTAGGAAGCGAAGTGCGAGGCACTGCCCTGCAGCAACACGGCAAATTCAACTTCACAAATACTGAGGTCTGTGACATTGTTGACTCTTTTTTTCCCCCTAGTCACAAAGAGCTACCAAAGCAAGAGGGAATAGTTCAATACTTTGGAAGTATTCCTTCAGACTCACTCCAGTTTAAAAGCCAGAATCAAGTGCATCCCCAGAGCCCTAAAAAACTGAAGCTTGTCATTATGAAGAAGAGAAGCAGAAATGTCACATAATTACCACAGTCATGGCTATGAAGTATACACTGAGATCAGCAGATCACATTTGCATTCTCAGAGAGGGAGCTCTCCCTGACCTTCAAAGCACAGAGCCATGCTCATTTGTGAGGCAATCAAATGTTTGGGGCAGGGCAAGGAAAAGAGAGGAAACAAGTCTGTCTAAAGCACATTAAAGAGCAGTTTTCCTAGATAAGGAAAGGTCAATACAAAGAAATGCATTTTCTTAAAACACTCGTGTTCTTTGACCTTACTATCAATTTCAGTCTTGAAGTTTTTCCACATTTCACATTCTATTTCATCTCACTGTAGTCACATGTATTTTCTAGTTATGCCTATTTTAGTAAGAATATGGGGTTATTTTTGCACACTAATTTTTTTCATTTACTGATCAATATGCTATGTTACTAACACATAACTTGTATTTAAATATAGTTAAAGAGCTACAAATATGAACACTGAATTCTGCAGTACTGGTAATAGACACAGACTAGAACTTTCATATTTACAGTTTTCCTTATTAAATGCATCTTGATAAGATTCTTTAATAAAATGTCTTAACAAGAGACTAAACCTGTGCCAACCTTAAAATTCTGTATTTTTACATGTGTTTACATAAAAGAACAATAATAAGATGGATTTTTTTCCCTGTCCAAAACATATCAAATATTAAAACCCTCTTCATTCTGCAGGAGTTAGACCTGGATCATCACCAAGTTTTAGTAAAACTATTTTCATTTAAGGTATCTAAATACCTATTCTTGCTAACGTTCAGCTGTTAAAACATCACTCTACCAAAAAACATAAGAGAAGACTGTACTTCCACAGCAACTTAGGCTGTCTAACAGCTGCCAAGGTCCTACTTTCCTCCTGTGGTCCTGGTAGAACAAACGTAAAGGAGGGGGCAAGATTTTGTGCAAGTGTTCGTACAACTGCACAGGAAACATCTGAATTAAAACTATCTTAGTAAGAAAGTTCTCTCATTTTAACCCAACTCCCTGATTTGATTCACCACGAACACTGCAAGTAAGAGAAGGAGCACTAAAGTGGGAAGAGGAGACCGAGCTGCAGGAGGAATGTGACACTGCTTCTTGGCATTGCCTTAGGACAACTTAAAAGAATTTTGAAACTTCAGCAGTAGTGC